CAGAGTTATAAAATTGTCAATCTGATTACCTTTTTACTTAAAAAAGATTAAGTTTAATTGAATATTGAAAATTGAGATTTGTTTACAAAAAACTTTAACCAACGCAGACGCCGACGCGGACGCGGACGCCGGGGCGACTACAATAGCTCTCATATTCTTCGAATAGTCGAGCTAAAAATGAATGGTGCCAATGCAATCTTTAACTAGTAAACAACTTGACTTGCAAGTAATAAGACTTTGCCAACAGTAGGCCAGTCCGCAAACCTGTACTGTCTAATCAATACTGTCACTATCTTTACAGAAAAACAAGAGATGCCTTACCTAGCTACATGAGAGGCATTATGTACAATATTTTGTAATGGTATGGCGGCTGTTTTGCTTAAACCTTTACCATCCTGTCCGAGATCATACACTTGAAGACAACCTTTCTCTGTCCGACAATAAAGTATGTTTCGTGAGTTATCTACCCTGATCTGCACTAGTGGATCTGAAAAAAAAAAAAAAATTCAGTTCTATATCTCCAATTTTACCATTTGTTGCTTGTCATGTATAAATGAATACTTTGTCAAAATTTGATTAAATTTTATGCCTAACCATTACAAGGCTAAAAGGTTTTTACCAAGCAAGGAGGTAATGATTTGCAAATATAAATTACAATTTTTGGCAATTATTGAAACACATATAATAATATAAACAAAATCTACATAAACTTAAGTTTGACTGGAAGTCTTTCTTTTTCATTTCACTTTTAATACCATGTATCCCCATCCACCAACAAAAAAGTCGGAAAACATTTTCTTTTTTAAGTTTCAACTCACACTTTTTGTCAGAGATTAGAGGAAAAACATACTTGTTCTGTTGAGAATATAACCCAATTATAGCTAATGTTGTATGGACGAATGATCTAACCTTCTTCACTAAATGAGAAGTTAAGAAATGAAGGAACCAAGAAAGACAGGGTACTTGTTGAATGGTTGATTTTACGACATTTTCTGCTGAACCAGCCATCATCAGCCTAAAATAATACAAAATTAGCATAATGTTGAAATTCTGTAAAAACTAAATAAGTCTGAAATATCATACAAAGATGACTGAGGAAAGTAATATTATAAAATAGTAATGGGATTTTTTTTGTTGGGTTTTACGTTGCACCAACACAGTACAGGCCATAAAGCGACTTTCCACCTTTTGTCTAATGAAGGAAGAGTTACGGTGCCCCTTTGTGCATAATTTCAGGGAAGATGGGTATCTTGGTAGAACCCAGGTTTTTCATTTTTATCTTTAGCAACAGATGTGCCAACAAAATCAACCCATTTAACCATGGTTCAGGAGGGATATTTTAATCTGCAGGCTAAAAATACAACTGAATTTAACAGCATTTCAACCGATGATATGGATCAACAATCTGTTAATAATGAAAACCCTGAGAACCACCGATGTTTCGTATGCTAGCATCGAAATAAAAGGTTAAGATATATAAGATATGCCCTCCCACTTACTCCCTTCAAACACTGCCCTCCCCTTATCTCCATTAAACACTGCCCTCGCACACCATCTCTATACAACATCCTACCTGATATGCTAATTCATACAAGCATCCATCTTTTCCTGCCATAAATATTCTACCAGTGTCTGTACCAACTATATTCATGATGTACGTGTTGTCAGTGGGTATAGAAAACAGTGGCTCGGGTAGTAAATGCATTTCATCAAATTCTGAAATATATGGAAAAGGGTGTAAATCATGAAAACAGTCACTTTAAACCATAGATGTACATATTGCCTAATAAATGACAATTAATATTTCATATTTATATTATAGTGTTTGCATGTGTCTGTGGTTTTAAGCTACAACGCCACACAAAGTTAATTGATATGCCCAATTCCAGAGGTCAACATCATGAGTACATTACTGAAGACATGCGCAGACAAGTTGGTAGCATCATAAGCCCTCCACTACCTTACTCAAAAGTCATAATCTCCTCCTTTATTAATAATTTGCTCTGCAAAGTTTCTTAAATAGACTCTACTATCATTCAGTTCAGACAAGACCAGCAGGGATCAAAAAATAACTTCAGAGCCACTCCTCCTGCAGGAGTAACAGGACAATGAACTTCAAATTTCTATTTGCCCTGCATGGATGATGCTATGCTTTTCGTCCTGCATTTTGTGCATAATTTCCAAGATAAACTTTGTCAATGCAATAGACCACTTGAATTCTCAAACAAACAGATTATGACAATACTAGCGGACAATTGCATTGACGATTTTTCACTTGTCCTGTTGGATGAGCATACAACAATTCTGTACTAGTCCTATCTCTACTCATAAATACTAGCGGATGAGTGGACTTCTTGATCCCTGTGACCATTCATCTTTTTTCAGGATTACTTAACTTCTACAAAAATTTCAAACATCGAAGGATGTGTAAAATATGTACTGCAAATGTTTATATGCATTATACATTTTATGTAATCATTAAAATATATGCATTAATTTCTTACTGAAAAATTTGGCAGACTTTATAGAAAATAAATTTCTAATTACTTCCTTTGGTAATATCTTTACAAATAATGCTTTTTTGACCTTACAGTAACAATAAATCTTTATTTGAGCATCATATTTATGATATAAAACCATAAAAAATTGAGTTACAGGAACTTTAAAATAATACAAACCTGCATTTGTGTGTGTAAAGCTAGCACCCAGGAGGACTATATCAATAGGAGTTGCTAAAACCAGTAAATACTGTATATGTGGCTGAAATATACCTGCAAAATAAACAAAATAAATTATCTTTACTTTATATAGGGCCAACCTTAAAAAAATGTTTGTTTGCAGTAACCCGACCCAGAATTTTCAAGGTGGGTAGGTAGGTCGATTTTTTTTTTTTTCTTTTTATGAACTGTACTCCCAAATAAACATGGAATTTCAAAATGCTGGACAATATATGCTTTGATAATCTGGTAACAATTAATAAATTGATAACTGAATTCTAATTTAATAAGACCTACATTTTATTTCTTCTATTAACCTTTAACAGAACGAAAACAAAGCACAAGGCATAATTTTCTGATTCAAAAAAATTTTTTTTTATCCAGACCATGAAAAAAAAATTTGAGTAGGGGCAAATTTTGTGAGTCGGTCGCGTTACTGCAAACAAACATTTTTTTAAGGATGGCCTAGAGAGAATTGGTGGACAGCAACACTTTCCTACTGCATCTACTACTTTAATTTTCAGAAACTTCAGCTGTTAATGTAACAATTTGTTAGTTTTTTGTTATCTGTTTGTTGTCACTAATTTCAATACATTACAGTGATTTAGAATGGATCGTCTTTCCTTAGTCCTAAATGGTAAATTTTTTTTAGGTCATTTGTCCTAAATCACACAGAAAAACTCCGTACAGTCACAATATCTTTATCTCTAAACAAGCAATGTATATGGTGGGCTGGTATTCTAATAAAAAAATGGATAAACAAAATATTGAAATGTATATATTATATCTGTTTAATAAGACAAAAATTGCTGTCCACATATTCCGCAGGGCTGACCCAATCTGAATCACTGCATTTTCGTCATATCTCAGTTGTCAATCCATCTAACAAGCTTTCCTGGATAAATTAACCAGAAATTATCAACTTCTCTCCAAGTGACTGACTACTAATATTACAATGACCTTTAATCAGCAGAGATTGAGACAAATGACCAATACTCAGTGATAAATTTTCTCTCTAAGAGAAATTTTGCTTTGCTCAAGGATCGGACCAGCTATGTCAAGGTTTGCCAACACCACAAGCCACGCATGTATACAGTCTGACCAGGCTGTATACTAATGACGGCTGTATTTTCTGCATTTTGTTTCAACATTCAGCATATTAAACATGTACAATAAAAAACATTTAAACCATTATTCTCCTTAAGTCATCATCAAAATAAATTGTTTTAACTAATCAAGTAATAAAAGTCATTTCTTCGAACCTGCCATGTATAACACACGGAAAATTGCTTTTTACCTTGTTTAGGTTTGACCAGAGCTGCTGATAAAATTGTTTCATTGATACCATCAAAATAGGCAAGGTCACCTCTGAAAAATAGCATTATCATATATATTAGTTTAATTCATTGTGATTAGATTTGATAATGTTATAACAAGTATTCAAAATTTTGCTAATTTCTGTAACAGCTTTTTTTTTCTAAACAATGGTAAACCCTCCACAAATCTTAACTCTGCTTGTTGTGTGTCTTAAAAGAAATAACAGATTATAAGATCATACTCATAAAAACAAACAACAACTTAAAGTAATATATAAGGAAGTTTTTATATTTAAACAAAATCTCTAATTTTCCAAAACTCTCCATTTGACAAAATTCTAATGTGGTAAAGGCTCTGAACTAAAATGCACATTACAAGGTCACAAATTAATATTTCTTTGCAGAGCATTTTTATCTGATAAGAAAATATGCTCAAATCATTATCTGCCCTATTAATATAAAATAAACATCTTTTATGTATTTCCCTGAAAGACCATGTGAAATTTAGCAGATATTCAGCATGAATTTCCTTTTAGTTGAAAGGCCTTTCATGTGCATATTTATATTATTAACACTCAATAATCGGCGACAATGACATAACCAATGCAGATAACCACCTGTCCATTGCAGATTTCTGTATGTTAACGGCGCCTCCATTCATGTATATTATGATTCACATTTACTTGTGCTCTTTTCATTTTAAATACACTAGGGTTTACAAAAATTTCGCCGGCAACGTAGTTGTGTTGAGAAGCAACCATGCACAGTCACTATGTGTGTATTAATAAACGCTATCAATGATAAAGAAAATAGAACAATATATTTAATCAAGCACCTACGCAATAAAGACGTAATTACACTGGTTTACAGGAAGAAAAATAATTGAAAGTATCTTGATGGGTATTAATTGTAAAAATAGATACACAGCCAACTGTTAAACAGAATTGGAATCAGCTGTTTCGAAAAATGAAAGTACACACCAAAAACGCTTCGAATTTTCATTCTTTGCGTAATTAATTTACAGCGTGCGTAAATGAACGCAACAATTTGGTAACCTTGTGCGTTTTTAGTTGATTTTGAAGCGTAAAATACGCCGATACACACATTATCTGGAACTCTGGTTTTACTATATAAATATCTACTTCAACTAGCTATGTAATAACAGACTTACCCGTCTTCATATTTCCATACAAATATGTCGCTATCGATAGATAACCACGCTCGTTCTATTTCTGGAAACAGTCCCATCATACAATTACATTGCATTCCTGATCATATGTTAAGGAAATCTTACCATCATTGATTGATTCTACCATGTTATACTGACAAAATGTGATGGCAACCTGACGTGGGTGAGTACAGCAGCTCTCCCTATTCTTCAGTCAAGCTAAAAACTGAACCTGGCTCTAGATTGGTTGCAAAGGTTAAGCACTTCCAGCAAGATAAAGGTTAACCACACAAATAAATGCATCTTTCAATAGCTTGAAAATTTCGAAGAATATGGAGAGCTTTTAATTATACTCACCAAGGTGTCACCTTCACATGTGAGGACAACAGACTCATTCAAACAGTCTGCAATTTTCTTCCCTTTTTCTTCATTTTCATAACTCTTGAAGGATATCCCCTATTCTAAATTAGAAAATTTTAAAATTTTTATAAAAAAAATACTTAGAAGAGTATCATGAAAAGGATACGTCCAAACTGCTCCACAAGCTCTGGTGGCAGTGGTACTCTCTTTAAATTGGATATTTCAGACAGGTTATCAAGGCCTATGCCTGTCTCCAGTAAGCTAGGGTAGTCAAAGTCATGGAGGCCACTTACACTGGGCTGGGCTGTAATGGAATAATAGATAAATGGGTTAATCTTTATTTCAAGAATTTATCATCTTTAAAACTGTCTATGTATTTGTTAACTTACAGTAAAGAGAAAAACACAACAAAATTTAGCATAAAACATAATATAGTGTAAAAAAAACATTTTTTTAAGCATTTTGTTTAACATCATTATACTGAAAATGAAGACTTTTGGGGAGTCTTGAAAATTCTAAAATTCAGAAAAATCCTAAAAACTTTTACCTATGTTATATTCATGCCAATGAGCTATCTAATGCATAATTAATATGTTTATTAATCTTAAATCAATGCTTTAACTTGTTTACAGCAAACACAATTGAAAAGCAAAGTTAGATCTCACAATGTAAGGGAACCCGTAGCAGTTCAGATAAATCTAGACTGTTGCGATCCTCTTGTAAATGTTTATCGACCAACCTTCCTGCAAGCATCAGCATATCTTTATGCGATGTCGGCTCCACAAAGGTCATACCTCCAAGCATAGACATTGTAATGTATTCAATGCCAGCTCTGTAAAAATGAACATATACAGTGTTTTAATTACAAACAGCTAGGTGAGTAATAATAAACGGCAAGTATTCCGATAATGGACCAATCAACTTACAAGTCAGGTGTTCTGATTGAAAATGGAAATGTTATCTGGTTCCCTGTTCTATTATGGTTCCCATATAAGAAGTGCATTGAGAACCAGTCTAAACGGAAGCAGTACATAAAATACCAAATGCCACTTTAAACATGGAAAATGAAACAAAAAATGAATGATTTTTTTTTATTTGACTTCCCCATTCATACATGTAGGATTTGTCTATTTTCATAATAAATATAGTTGCTTTAAGAACTATAATTTCTTGTTAAGAGCTTGCTTTGAGGCTTTGCCTTACTCATATTAGGTAAATCTTAAAACACATTGTCTTTATATGTCCGCAGATAATTTCAAACTAAACTGCAAAATTTTTCCATTTCCATTTGTTATTGGTTGTAACTGAGCTGAGTAACTCAGAATATTTTTTAGTAATTTACTCCTTTTACTTTACTTTTACTTTATCCAGCGTAGGGTCGCGAGATCAGAAATCTCTTGTAACCCCCTCAAGGTCTGACACCAAATAATTATTATCCGGTATAACAGTATATAATTTGTTTTTCATAACCTTATCGAGTCTGTTTTTTAACGAATTCAGCGTTGGTGAACATACTACAGTATCCGGTAATCTATTCCATTCTGGTACTACTCTTAATGAGAAAAAATGTTTTCTTATTTCCTTTTTACATGATTTTATTTTCAACCTCATGGAATTTCCTCTGATGTGATGATTATCAAGTTGTGCTTTTTCAAAAAATACATTATAATCTATATCTTCCTTCCCATTTAATAATTTCCATGCTTGTATGATATCACCTCTAAATCTTCTGTAAGCCAAAGTAGGAATTTCCGAATTTTTAATCTTTCTACATACGATAAATTTCTGATACATTGAACCATTTTTGTTGCCCTTTTTTGAACTCTTTCGATTGCTTCAATATCTTTTTTAAATCTTGGACTCCAAATAATATTTCCATATTCAAGGTGTGGTCTTATAAGTGTTTTATAAAGTTTCCGAAATTGCTTGATATTAACATGTAAGAAAGGTATTTCTGACCAATCCAGTTATTTTATTTGCTTTATTGATACAATTACTTATGTGATGTCGAAATTTCAAATCCTTATCATATATAATATACCTAAATCTCTTTCTTCCTCACTAGACCTCAATTGTTTAGTTGTAAAGTCACTTTTCATAAAATATTGATGTTCCGTGTTATTGTGTCCATAATGAAATAACACAGCATTTGTCTACATTAAATTGCAAATAACCACTTTTCACTCCATTGTATTAAACTATCATTGTCATTTTGTATTTGGTTAAAGTCTTCATTTACATTTGCCAGGTTAAATAATTTGGTGTCATCCGCAAAGAGACGCAAGGTACTTTTAATTTGACTTTCAATGTCATTAATGAATATAAGAAACAATATTGGTCCTAAAACACTTCCCTGTGGAACACCACTTGTTACACTACAATAGTCAGATTTACTATTATTAACAACAACACACTGAGTTCTAGGGCTGTGCATTGCCATTTTTTTCTGTCACGATACATATCACGATATTTGTTTTTCAAAACGATGCGATTCACGATATGTATTGCATCCTTTGAAGAAATGCGATGCATATTGCGATTCTTATGTTGCGATGCGATATGTATCACGATACTGACTTTTAGACTTAGTATATAAAAATTTGGCCATTTGGTTACAGTATAATTACGAATATAATATAATACTATTACATAACAAAAAAATAAACTCTTTTTAACTTTTTGTTTTAACTTGGTTTCCGATTTCCGCATCTTTTAAAATTTACTTTCTGATTACGTTGAGGATTAAAGGTATTTTTAATTAAACCATAAAAGCAAATGATATCTAAATAGCTATTCTTAACCAAATCCACTACTGTAAATATGGTCAGTTTTAACAATTTCAGTCTTACAATACACAGTGACCACTAAAGATTTTTCTTGTGAAAAAACTAGTAACAAGTGATCTACAATTAGGGTCACAACTGTGAAAATACAGTTTCAGTTCAGTCTAGTTTTCTCATAAAGATTTGTGGCTCAAACGCCCAGAGATTTTTATTTAATTTGCAAACACTCCACGTTCGGTCTTCCAATTATACAACACTGTCCTGATGGTTCCCAAAACTACAATTTTCCCAAACTCGTGATTTATATGACCAGGGAGGATTGACTGTATTTCCCCCGTCTACATATTTTGCAGTCTTCAATGTTTTCTGTTTGTTTGCTTTGTTGTTTTTTTTACGGGAATGATGTCAACGGAAATGAAGTATAAAAACGTGACGAATATCACATGGGGATGTTGTCATCATCACTATTTTAATCCGACATTTAAGTGCTAGCAGAAAATAAAATTCATGTCTTGTAGGTTGTTTTTCTTGAAATCGCAACAGATCTCTAATTATGTTTTTTTATTATAAACTAAGTTCAAAGAACACCAGCCCATTTACATGGAATTGATAAAACTTGGTTAGTAAACTGTTAAATGAATTGTGGACATGGGGAACACGAGATGACAATGATGGTAATGATAATAGTCGCGGCTTGTTTATGTTTTCATCCGAGCTATTTTTTCTTTCTTCAGTCCTTCAAAAAATACGTTTGTCCTTATATTCCTGGAAGATATTGTTAGTGTATTGCGATACCTTCCCGCTGTATCGATACATCGGGAGGTGAAATATGTATTGCATCGTAATATATTGGAATTTGTATTTTCATTACGATGCATACATCGGGGACAAGACAGATTGCGATGCATGGATGAATCGTTACACCTCTACTGAGTTCTGTTTGTAAGGAATGCTTTGATCCATGATAAAAGTGCACCACCAATACCATAAGATTGCAATTTAAGTATTAGTCTAGAATGTGGAACCATATCAAATGCTTTTTTAAAGTCATAATACAAACAATCAAAATTTCTGCCTTCATCTAACCAATCTGTCCACTTTTTCATGACTTCTAGTAACGTGAAGGGCACATGATCTAAGGATCTAAAACCATATTGGGCTGCAGAGAAAAAGTTGTTAAAATTCATATAGTCTACAATATTATTCCTTACTACTTTTTCCAACAATTTACAGGGTATACATGTCAAACTAATTGGTCTATAATTTCCTGGTGAATCTTTACTTCCTTTTTTAAATAAAGCTTTGATGTTCGCAGTCTTCCAATCCATAGGCAATATTCCAGTTTCTACAGATTCAGTAAATATAAGTGTTAAAGGGGAAACAATTGATGTTCTCAACTCTTTTAAAACCCAAAATACTGAACACTCTATATCCTAATAGTTTTTAAGAGGCCAAGTTAACCCGTGCCAAGTTAGAATAGGGACGAATTGACCATTTACCATTCAGATTAGTTCTAGATGCACTTTCGTTTTCTCTGGACTGGTCTTTCTTTTTTTTCTATTTTTTTTTAGTCGCGAAAACCAATTAAAATAGAATTGTTAATGAACCAGGCAATGAAAGAAATCAATACAAAATAAAAATATATATTGTAGGGATTTATTTTAGTTGATCACATATTTATCATAGATTAAATTGTAAAACTCATAGATTTACCTTTTTTATTCAAAATTTGCCGGCAACCGCGATTTTTAGATTAACTTCCGGTTCAGTTTGCCGTGAAATTTATTTGTTATAAGAATCGCTGAGGGAGAAAAGTGCTAAATGTTTATCATTTTGCGTTAGAACCACAGACAGACAGATATACATACATCAATATTTAGCTCCGTGTTAGAACAAATAACATGGTTTACAATGTTGAATCTTGAACTAGGAAGAACACCTGAAAATAATCAAACCAAAGCGATGATTATGACTGAATACATAGTATCATCTTAATCACGGATTTATATTAATGTAATATAAATCCGTGTCTTAATTACATTTTAAAAATGTTTATTTTCAAATTTATTTATTTTCAGGTTCTAGACTACGTATCTTATGCAGCTGGTTATGATGATTTAATTTTTATGCACTAAATCCTATATTAAGATGTTGAAGTCGGCTTAGAATGCACTTGTGGGCACAGATCCATGTCAAATCCATAATGAAAGGACTAGATGAGGTCATGAACACTGAATATGTTGTTTAAGCACAATGATAAGTTATTATAAGATATTGAATAATTAAAAAACTCTAAAAAGTGCCGTGATTTAGCACAAGAAACACATTGGCAGAAACAAAAGTTATCATAAGAACTCCAGGACATATTTTGAGTTATCACAAGAACTCCGGGACATTTGAAAAATCGGGTATAAATTTGTTAGTCGGGGCTTTATGTTTGCAATTTTGCATTATAATTAGATAATTATGTATGGCAAGGATGAAGACTTGAAATAAACAGGTCAATACTTGCAAATTGGCAAATAATTTGAAATTTTTACTCAAAATTACCAGATTTTTAGCAAGAGGCTATGAAAAATGGACTATGAATTAGTTTTTGACACATAATACAATATATGTGAGGCAAGCTTAATCATTAAAGTTTAATTTAGCACCTAAACTCATTTTTTACGATAAAAATTACCATTTTTGACGAGTGTTTTGCAGTATATACAATAGTTTTCCGACGAACTCCGTGACAGTTATCACAAGAACTCCTTAACAAGACTTAGTTATCATAAGAACCTCATCCCTCGTGTAACACTTCCTCCCCCGTGTGTGAATGTCACCCTTCATTGTTGAACTTTGCTTCCATAATGTGTTGTAGGGATTAACGGGTAAAGTGCATCCCAGCACATGTACTGATAATATATATCAAACTAACAAAAAACTTAATGTAAGCCGTTTTGAAAAAAACTTGTAATATAAATCTGTAATAATAATATACCTGATGAAATTTATCAAAAAGGCTTATATTAAGGTTTCTTTCTACATGTGTAAAGTATCTTTGAAGATAATTTTGTCAGAGTGCATGATTCCAACCATAGGCACTTGGTTTCGGGATAAAAAGTCTTTTGAAGGGTTTGTAGAACTCAAATTTGATTGAATGTAACGATTTTTTAAGGTAGATGTCTCGATTCTAAATTCGTAATTTTTCTGATAATTATAGTACTAAAAATATCGGAAAAATGACGGTTTTAGAAAAGAGAAATCTACGTTAAAAAATTGTAACATTCAATTATATTTGATTTCTACAAACCTCTTAAAGGGTTATTTTATCCCGAAACCAAGTGCCTATGATTCCAACAAAACTCTTGAGTACGAAAAGATTTTGTGGCCGTTAACCCATAGATTCAATCTTAATCAATCAAAAGCTTTATTGTCAATATAAACATCGTCTGGTAACCAAGATTTCATAAAATTCGCAAGAAATCATGCCGCAGAAATAAAGGCAATATATTGTTTTAAAGCCAGTTTGTTTGTGGCTTTGATATGGTGAAAGAGAAAATTAATTCGATTCGAACGTATGACGAGGACGGATATCGTCGAAGAGCAGCCTGTTTGTGTTTCAAAGACGAAACTGAGCAAGAGGTATATTCACATTTTGACATAGTCTAGCTCTTTAATTTTTGAGAGGTCATCAAGGGGAATGTCATTTTTTATTTATTAAATTTCATTGTGACACTATATCCACATTTAATATTCATGCAAATCTGAAAGTACTTTTGAGACCTTGTTTCTCTTTAACAGTTCAGTATGGTCCATAAATCTTGAGTGCATAAATTTTGTATCAAGGACACTTTGGGCAAAACCATCTTTTTTTTGTTGAAAATTTTAAAATAAGTAAGGACTGAATAGTTAACAATGCTGCCCATCGATCAGAAGCAGATGCCAAACAGCTTGTTGTCGGACTTTTGTCTTGTTGTCCTGTTGCTAGCTACTACACACCAAACGGCGCATTGTCGTCCTGTCTCTAGTGAAGCACACTAAACAGTGCGTTGTCGTGCGGCGCAATGTTGCCCTGTCGCTTGGCTTATAAGCCAATCCTTCGATTTGAACCAAGCGGCAATTTGACATCACAACAACATGCCCCACAATATCGCGCTGTGCATCGTTTGCGTCAGGACGACAAGACGAAAGTCTGTGACGCGCCGTTTGGCGCTTGTTCGTGTTGTTGATAGCGCCAACTAGATGCAGAAAAGTGTACCATTTCAGCCACCAAACTTTTGTCTTCTCTTGATGATTTTTGAAATTACTTTGCAGAAAATTCACCAGTATAAGTGATGTTTTACATACATGTAACTTTGTCAATTATTTCATGGATTTTGAAATTACATGTACTTGAGAGATATGTTTTAACTTTACCAGCATGTGAACATTTTTGTCAGGCTTAAACTGAGGTGATGAGCACAAATTTCAAACTAGTTGTCGAAAGTTAAAAATTGACATTTTTCTTGTTCAAATTTTATCATTTTTGAAATGGGTTTTGAAATTACTGACACCAGTCAGAATCTCACACAGCAGAATGATGCAGCTTGTAATTTTAAATTGTCTTGTTGGAAAAAATACTGTTAATATTTTAGATTTATATAAATTGTCTTGTTGGAAAAAATACTGTAAATATTTTAGATTTATATAATGGATTTGACCTACCTAAGACTGGAACATTGTTGTAATTTTAAATTGTCTTGTTGGAAAAAATAGTCTGTTAATATTTTAGATTTATATAATGGATTTGACCTACCTAAGACTGGAACATTGTTGTAATTTTAAATTGTCTTGTTAGGAAAAATACTGTTAATATTTTAGTTTTTAATGGATTTGACCTACCTAAGACTGGAACATTGTTGTAATTTTAAATTGTCTTGTTGGAAAAAATACTGTAAATATTTTAGATTTATATAATGGATTTGACCTACCTAAGACTGGAACATTGTTGTAATTTTAAATTGTCTTGTTGGAAAAAATACTGTAAATATTTTTAGATTTATATAATGGATTTGACCTACCTAAGACTGGAACATTGTTGTTATTTTAAATTGTCTTGTTGGAAAAAATACTCTTAATATTTTAGAATTATATAATGGATTTGACCTACCTAAGACTGGAACATTGTTGTAATTTTAAATTGTCTTGTTGGAAAAAATACTGTTAATATTTTAGAAATATTGGATTTGACCTACCTAAGACTGGAACATTGTTGTAATTTTGAATGGTCTTGTTGGAAAAATACTGTAAATATTTTTGATTTATATAATGGATTTGACCTACCTAAGACTGGAACATTGTTGTAATTTTAAATTGTCTTGTTGGAAAAAATACTGTTAATATTTTAGATTTGTATAATGGATTTGACCTACCTAAGACTGGAACATTGTTGTAATTTTAAATTGTCTTGTTGGAAAAAATACTGTTAATATTTTAGATTTGTATAATGGATTTGACCTACCTAAGACTCACTGGAACATTGTTGTAATTTTAAATTGTCTTGTTGGAAAAAATACTGTTAATATTTTAGATTTGTATAATGGATTTGACCTACCTAAGACTCACTGGAACATTGTTGTAATTTTAAATTGTCTTGTTGGAAAAAATACTGTTAATATTTTAGAATTATATAATGGATTTGACCTACCTAAGACTGGAACATTGTTGTAATTTTAAATTGTCTTGTTGGAAAAAATACTGTTAATATTTTAGATTTATATAATGGATTTGACCTACCTAAGACTGAAACATTGTTGTAATTTTAAATTGTCTTGTTGGAAAAATTACTATTAATATTTTAGATTTGTATAATGGATTTGACCTACCTTGTACTGGAACATTGTTGATTTGAAAGAACTTGATTTATTCCCCACAGTATAGAGGCTAAACAGGTTCTTTTGTAGCATTCTAAGATTGTGATGAATTCTGTTAAAATAATAGATTTGCAGAATTGAATTTAGTATAGAAACTAAAGTACTTACAGGTTATATTATGAAGTATATTTGACATTCATAACATAAAAGAGGTATTTCATCCTTTAGGAACAACAACCATATTGTCAAATGAATTAGGGAGAATATATAAGAATTTATCTTTAGAATTTTATAAGAATGAAATCTACATTGTTTACAAATGAGGGAGAGTTTAAATGTCTTCTTTTTATGTAACTTAAAGGCACAAATGCCTTGAACATTGCATTACATTAAATATTAATAATCAATAGTGAAATATATGAATTCAAATTCAAAATACTATTAACATAAACTATTGTTAACACATGTCCAAAAAGGATTACCTCTGAGCTTAACATGCATTTTGTAGTTCATTGTACCTTTTTCTGGTATATTGTACATGTCAGTATTGTTTTGCTATTATATTTTTCTCAGTGATTTTATAATTTATCACTAAAAGCAGCACCCTATAAATTTCTGATTAATTTTAAACTTTAAAGGTATGCTAAATCAGCTCATGATTAAACAAGATGTCATCAGCTGTACAAGTTAAAGTGATTTAATAACCAAGTATAAGCAGGGGCTGCAATATCTATTGTCCATATTGTACAGATTGTTCCACAGCCTGTACTGACAAGTGATTTTTTAGGACTTACTTTATTGTCACAACATACAAACATGCAAAGAAATGCTTCAGATAATACAGATAAGTATTATCAGGATCAGATTTTGCTGGCACTGCATGATAAGGCACTATTCACAGAATGTACCCTATAACAAATTATGCAGAAATTTCTGTTACTCTGTAAGTATCTAGGTATAATTTTGGTGCTGAAAAAAATGAAATATATCATATTTTTGTATGATACACTTAAAGGGCACCTCTACTGTGACTATATGATCATTTGTAAAGCAATAAAAATATTTTTTTTTTAAGTTTGATTTTTTCGAAGATTTATTTTCCTAATCTTAAGGCTTTTAAAGCTTATTTTGTAAATACTTGATGATATAACTGTAATAAAATTACCTTTCTAATCTGCATTTTTCTTTATGTATATTAAATAGCTGTAAAAGATGTTATAATTGATAGGTTTTTTTTTTCAATGCATAGAAGGTTGTATGAAGGTTACATGAATTTGCCCCACATACCAATAAACTGGTCTTTAAAGGCTCACCAAGTCTTACCATATCTATTTAAACATACAGAGTGATTTTTGTATTTTTCCTCATAAAGGCTTAATTGCCTGTTAAATTTGGGAAATTTTGAGATTAAGTTTAAATAGAAAAATGGGAAAATTAAACAAAACCATGTAAAAGATGTACTTTTATTCAGGTGATAATAAACATGGAAAATTTGCTTTACATAGAAAAAGTTTCTGGTTGTGTGATGTTTTGAGTTTGAAAAATGGACTCATCTGTTGGTGTGAAGCTTTAACCATAATCAGACATGTAAACCTAGTTTACAAACGTAAACATACAGAAATACATAAAATAAATATTTGTATTAATTTATATGACTGTGTGTCTTTAAAAGGGAAAAGCCAGTGTATTATGATAAATTATTTTTTTTACGAAATGAAAATGAAATAATTTCCTTTGAAAAAATAAAAAAATGTTTTTCTTTTGCATTGCAAAATGATTTAGATAGAGATTAGATTTCATAAGTAGAATTAAACCTGCCTTTTAGATTGAATATCATAACCAATAAATTTAAGAAAGTTTCAATAATTATGATAAACTAATTTAAGAAGTGGGTGGTCTAAAGTTGTAGATTTCTTAAAAGTGGGTGATGGAGATGGAAACACGTGCTGGAAACCTTTTGTCCAATTTAACTCCCATCACTATAGAAGAGGCAATAATTGGTTCTTAGAGACCAAGTCCTTCTAAACAAAACACCTGAAAAAACTTGAAACAATTGTAACATACAGAGATGCTGATTAATAATATTTGTTAAAATTCAGCTTTTAGATTAAATTAAGAAAATTCTTCTATTTTATGAAAATTGTTTGTAGTTTATGTTTTTTTTAAAGGGACATCACTGAGGTCTTTTTGACATGACAGGGCTGAAAATAATGTTATCATGAATATTGTTTGTAATTTTTTTTTGTTAAGCCACATAGGGGCCTGAGTGGCCAGATTTTTTATTTAAAAAAAAGGTTGTTACACTTTTGATATTAAAATTTTTACAGCTACATCTAAATTTAGATTTTCGTGCTTGTCATTACGAAAAATGTATTCTAATAAAATGTGCTTTATCTTAGTTTTGATATTACCAAAAACATACATGCTCATATGAGCCGCGTCACGACAAAACCAACATAATGGGTTTGCAACCAGCATGATCCAGACCAGCCTGCGCATCCGTGCAGTCTGATCAGGATCCATGCTGTTCGCTATCAGTTTCTCTACTTGTTATAGGGTTTGTAAGTGAACAGCATGGATCCTGATCAGACTGCGCAGATTCGCAGGCTGGTCTGGATCCATGCTGGTCGCAAACGCATTATGTTGGTTTTGTCGTGACACGGCTCAATTATATTTTAACACATTTGAAATTAGTTCAAACAAGTAGAACTGTATAAGATACTGAAAAGATAATTTTTTTTATTAAGACACCTTGATATAGGCAAGTGGTTAAGGCATCTGACTTTGAAT